GGCTTTCAGCAATGTATAAACACTGAAGTGAGGGCACATCTTTCCCTTGATTTTTTTTTTTAATCCTGCCCTCCTTCCAATAAGCTCTGGGCAGCCTACATCATTCTCTTCTGTTTTATCTCCACAACTACCCTGTGAAGGGGGGTTAGGCTGAAAGAGAGTGACTTGCCCAAGGTCACTGAAGTGAGCTTCCCAGAGCAGGGATTTGAACCCAGAACCCTAACCACTACACTAGGTTGTCTCCGATATGATGGAGGGTATTAAAATTCAGCACAAGTAACAAGCCGAAAGGAAAGGATGCTGTGAACCAGTGTCTAAGAAAAACAAGGAAGGGATATGGCAAGAATTCTGTAAGGAATAAAAGGTGGATCAAAATGCAACAAAGGAGGCAGGAAATGGGGGGGGACAGTGTGGTGTAGTGGTCAGAGTGTCAGACTAGTATCTGTGTGACCTGGGTTTGAATTCCCACTTGTGCTGGGTGACCTTCAGCCAGTCGCACACTCTCTGCCTAACCTACCTCACAGGGTTGTTGTGAGGACAAAATGGAGGAGAGAATGACGTAAGCTACCTGGGATTCTCACTGGGGGAAAAGGCGGGATACAAGTGAAGTAGATAATAACAACAATACTAGCAGAACAGAACAAGGAACCGACAGGAGGTGTTAATAACAGCAGAGGCTTCCTCTTGAAATCTTAGAAAACGCTTTCTTCCCAGAACTGTAGTCTTATTCTTTTGACACTGGAGTTTTCACTGTCGTCTCTCCCCCTCGTGTATTTTAAACTGTTATCCGATAATAATTTTTTTTAAATGCAACTTTTCCTCTCTCCGTCTCCCAGATTTGCACATGATCAGATCAAACTGATTTCGTCTGGTGCAGAGTTTTAAACTGGAGGGAGGAGAGCTCATTCCGGTGTTTTTCCATCTCTGGACATGCCCTTAAGACCAACTTTTACACTTTGCCCTCTCTGATCCTTCTGCAAAAGCTATTGTGCAACCATTTGGGGGGAAAGACGGAAACTTTTTGCAAACATTAGCTAGGGTTGGGTCTAGGGTTGCCAGCTCTGGGTGTAGAAATACCTGGAGGTTTGAGGGTGGAGCCTGGGGGAGGGGAGGGACCTTGGAAGGGTTTAATGCCATGCAGCCCACCTTCCAAGGCAGCCATTTTCTCCTGGAGAAGTCGAATAAATGTTTTGAATGAATAAATAAGTGGTTTATGTCGTCTGGAGATCAGTGGTAATTCTGGGAGATCTCCAGCCCTCACCTGGAGATTGGCAACTCCTGTTGAGCCACAGTGGTCAGGCTCGAACATGCAAGTGAGGGTTCCTGGTAAAGCTTGCCACAGCCTATACAAGTCCCTCGCTTTTGCAAAAGCTGTATCTTTCTCCTCTTCACAACAGCTCTGGGACTAGAGATGGGGAGCACCATTATTCCTATTTTGTGAAGGATAGTCAGGGAAAAGAGTGATAAAAAGCACCCAGAGACCATCCAAGCCAACCCCTGTCCATTGTCCATGTATCACCTGATCAAAGGCTGGCTAAGGCTTGTGCAATCTGAGTGTAGGGTTGCCAATCCCCAATTAGGGGCAGGGGATCCCCTGGTTTGGTGCCCCTCCCCCCTTCAGGGATGTCAGAAAGTGGGGGGGGGATGCCCACTGGGCGCTCCATTATACCCTTTAGAGGGTATAATGGAGAATCAATCTGTGGGTATCTGGGGCTTTGGGGGGGGGGCTGTTTTTTTCGGTAGAGGCACCAAATTTTCAGCTTAGCAGATGGTGCCGCTCCTGGAAACCCCTCCCCCCAAGTTTAAAAAATATTGGACCACGGGGTCCAATTCTATAACCCCCCAAAAGATGGTGCCCATATCCTCCATTATTTCCAATGGAGGGAAAGCATTTAAAAGGAATGCGGTCCCTTTAAACGTGACGGCCCAAACTCCCTTTGGAGTTCAATCGCCTAGTGACATCACAAAAGTGAGTCACATTGTTGCTCCTGGCCCCACCCCCAAAGTCCCCAGGTATTTCCTGAGTCGGACCTGGCAACCCTATGGCTGACTTATATGGCCAAGAGGTGCCTTCAGCATCCATTGAAAGGGATCCTGGGACTCACTTCTGGGTCTCTTGCAGTCTCGTTGTGCCCCAGCCCCAATGATTGCTGTCCCAAGGTGTCACATTTGCATCCCAATGCTGGTTGGCCCTGCAGAAGCCTTCATGTCTCCAGTCTCTAAGAAGACAGCGGGTGCTTTGCCGAAAGAGCCGGTGTGGTAGAGTGGTTAGGCTATGATCTGGGAGACCCAGGTTCAGATCCCTGCCTTGCCATCTTCTAAATTATATTTGGAAAACAATAAATAACTTTAGCATAACATGGACATGATCAGGTTTCTAGCTTTCTCCTGCTGCAGTGGAGCTATGATGTTTGTAAAATAGACCATGTGCAGAACCTGGCACAAACCCTCTGTGTTTCTGACAGCCTCAAACGGCAGGGTAATCCCATGCAAATTCACTTCCTGAGGTGTTCAGGTAGGGTTGCCAACATCCTGGTGGCGGCTGGAGATCTTCTGGGATCAAAACTGATCTCCCGTTGACAGAGATCAGTCCGCCTGGAGGAAATGATCACTTTGGAAGGTGGACTCTGTGGGGCTATGTCCCACTGAGGTCCCTCCCCTCCCTAGGCTCCACCCTGAAAATCTTCCGGCACCTCCCAACTAGGAGCTGGCAGCCCTCTTTTTTCTACATGGGTGGGGAAAAGCAACAAGGGGAGGAAATGGTTTTGAGTGGACGATTGGGAGGATTTAGTGGCCCCGCCCCTTCTGCTCTTGATTACAGCCTTCAAGACTGCTTTTCGATGGGAAAAGCAAACAATCAGCCTCCAGGGGCATGCAGCACACCATGGTGTGTTTGTGATGTTTGGTCTGAATGTAAGCGGAAGTTCCGTTGCTCCCACACTTTTTCTTGGTGGAGCTATGGACCAGCCCACACACTCTGCTGTGGCACTGTAGGAGCTGCTTCCTGGTGGCACCGACCTTCCTGTTACCCTACATCTAAGCCCATCACTGATTTCCGCTCTTGGCGCAATCCAGGGGTCGTTTCGCAGAAAAAGAGCATAACTCATTAGCATATGCCAAACCCCCTGACATCACCGGAGGTGTGTCATAAGGCCACACCCCCTGACATCACCAGAAGTGTGTCATAAGGCCACCCACCCCCCACCCCCAACGGTCCCGGCCGCCAGCGGCCTTGCAGCTCCACTGCCGAGCCCCATGAGGGGCTCAGCGGTGGACCTGCAAAGCCGGCGGGAGGGCGAGGAA